GTGTACACACACTGCCAACACACATTTCAGTTCAAACAACTTGTAAAAGTGCATGTAGCATCCGATGACCCCTTTAAACGCTTTCTTTGATTCTGAGCATAACTGAATCAACCCGGCCTGTCGCCAGCCAAATCAGTCTAATAGAGCTGATTTGACTCCTGACTCAGTTTGGAGTTCATGTGTAGTTGCTGTGTTTGGTCTCTGTGTGTCAGTAGTGAGTGATAGTGTTTGAGCAGCTGATAAACACTCTCAGAGCACTGGAGCATCTGATGAATATGCAAACAGACTCCAGATCATTTACCTCAAGACAGAGATACACAGTCTTGCCATTTTATTTCTTCAATTTTTATTTACCATTTTCACAAACAGACATTTATAATTTACTTCATGTTATTTTGGGTGGAGCTTCACCCTGCAAACACTGTTTAATGTTTAGTTTCATTCAGACTTTGATGCTGAGAGCATTTAATATCTGATGTGCAGATTTCTATGATCATCTATGATACTGTATCCATCATGTATGTATGATCATCCAATACGGAATGACCATCTAAATCTTGCTAAAGATTTCATTATAAAGCAGGTAAATAGAATTAGCAGAGTTTAAAATCACGTGTGTTGAAAATGTGATGAGCCTTTATACAATAATAAGTATTAAAGATGAACATTTTGTGCTGCATTTTTTAATGATCCATCGCTGCTGTTGAGTCTCATATCAGTGTGTGTGAGTGTCGTGGAGTTTGTGCTCATTTGAGTGTGACGGAGGTTTTTGTACCACGCTTTCACTAGAATGAAGCACTGTGGTGGACTTTTGGTGGAGGAACTAAACTGACGATCGGTAAGTCTCTTTAATTCTATCATTAAAGTGTATGATATTATTATTCATTTTATTAAGCAAACATTTGCCAACAATTATTATAAAAATGTTATTGAAGTTAAAGAAGAATAAAGATAGAAAATATTAATTATTAATATTAAAATTAATGATTCATTAATTCCAACATTTCATGATGAATTTAATTGCTTCATAGTTTATTTAATTTTGTGTGCTATTTTACAACTATATATTAATATTTAGTGATATTTCTTTTTTCCATTTAAAATCATATTTCATTTTTTTTCAATTTCACTTTACATTAATCATTTCACATCTTATTATTGCTAACATTTCATTGCTTATTAATTCATTGGTTGAAATAGTTTGATGTATATTCAACTATTTCTTAATATATTTTTTGCATAGCTCTTGATCAAATTAACAATTAAGAGTTTTTGAAACGCATGACACAAAGGTTTGATAATACGGACAAAATAATTCTAATTTTGTAGGCATCATCATCAGACAAAATATATTTAGTTAATTGTTTTTTTTTATTTAAATGTACATTTCCATATAATTGTGATTGTTTTGATCTTTTAAAAATACAATTAATATATAAATTATAATATTGATCTGTTTTCTAAAGGACCATGAATTTGCACATGGACAGTGTTTTTAAAATAATTTTGAGAATCATTTAAAAAAATGTTACACACATTAATTCAGAATATAGCAAATAATTATATTTTTTACAGTATATCATGTTTGCTTCACAAAACCAATTTAAATTTAAATGTACATGATACATTTAGTAGTGGTGAACATTTATTTAATGGAGATTTAATGTAGGACAGTGTCTATGCGGTATAAAGGCAGTGAGGTCAAACTACAGTAACGATGAAATGATTGTGTTTTTTACAGCATTACCCTATCTAAATCTATGAGCTAGAGTCAGAATGCTAAGAGTGCTGGATTGTGAGTTTGTGTTGTGTGTGTGTGTTTCAGCTGGTCCCGCAGTGAAGCCCTCCGTGTCTCTGCTGCCTCCCTCTTCTCTGCAGCTCTTTGGAGACTCAGACGCACTGCTCTGCCTGCTCAGCTCTTACTCTCCACAGGGGGCGCAGGTGAGCTGGACGCTGGACGGGTCAGAGGTCACCGAGGGGGTTCAGACCAGCGCAGAGAGCGAGCGGGACGGACGCTACAGCCGCAGCAGCGTCCTGAGCCTCAGCAAAGCACGCTGGGAAGACGGCGAGCGCTTCGTCTGCAGAGTAACACATGACGGAGCTGCTCAGGAGGCCTCGTTCCTCAAGAGCTCCGAGTGCTGATGTTTCTCCAGTGAAGAGCAGCAGGATTCACAGCAGTCACCTGATTTACAGCTCAATACTCAAGCAGTCTTTCAATGTGCTGCCATTGCTGTTCATTCAATAAAGCTTCTGAACGCCTTACATTTGTGTCCGACTGCATCATCGAGCAGTGTGTCCTTCCTTCAAAGTCCTTCACTAAAGTTTCAGCTGCTGTTGATGGATTGTAATAGTTGAGAACAGCTGCGTTTAGCAGTAAATGTGAACTGAAGCTCTTGGGGTTTGAACATGGTCTCTGGAGACGGAGCTGCTCTATTCTGAGACGATCAGAATCACTAAAGCTGCCAATGCAAATCTGATTTTCACCTCAAACTCACAGTTTCACTGTTTGATCGGTTAAACGCTCTAAACTGGATCAGTTTCACTTCACTTCTTCGATGAGACAGTTATGAAGATTGAGTGGTAGTTTATATACAACTTATGAACTTTATGAACTGTACTAAGGATGGAGACTTTTGACTAAAAGACAAATAATCTATTCAACAGCAACATGTTTATGTCCTGCTGTTTTTGGACATATAAATGCATAATAAGAAAGAAGAAAAATATGAATGATAAAAATACATAAAAAAATACATATCATGGATTGAAAAATTAGTGCATGGAGAGCAGAAAAGATATATTATGTAACTGCGCCGAGACTTGAGTGAGGATCCAAATGCAGTATTTATTGAATAATCCAGTGTCAATACATCAAGCAAATGGTCAAACACAAATAAACAACCTAAACTAGCGACCAGACAGGAAACAGGCAAAAAGGTAATCCAAAAAACCAAGAGACATGAAACCAGGGAGAGTGCTCAGCAATGTAAAATAACAACTTGCAAAACCTACTACTGAAAGATAGAGTGAACATGGTTTAAATAGGCTGAGACAATGTAATGAACAACAGCTGAATGCAATCATTGATGAGTCCGGGCAAAGGATTATGGGGAATGAAGTCTGGGAGGAAAAGGTGATGGCGAGCGGGAGTAATGCTGCGTTCAAGTCCTCCTGGGACGTTCGTACTTTCGAGTTGACAAGTCGTAATTACGACGTCAGGTGTGTTCAAGTCAGTTCAGCGTACCTTCTTTTAATAAATTACAAGAAAATACAACAGGGTCTGTTAACTGCTTATAGAAAATGAAGAGCAAAGAATTTGCATGCAACATGGCAAATCAAAAGATTTTTCACCTATAGGTGCAATAATGATAGCATTTTTTTACTTGGATTTTATTAACTAGCTGCGTAACAAGAACATGACCAATTTAAGTTTATAGGAGTGATGTGACGTTCGACACCGAGGCTTCGAAGCTTGTATCAAAAAAACGAAACATCTCACAGTGAAGCACTGTACCGGAGCTTGATTAATTTTGCCAAAACCACGTGATCTGTGATGTCCGAAGCTTCGTTTTTCGGAGCTTGATTCGTTTTGCCAAAACCATGTGATCGGTGACGTCCGAAGCTTCGTTTTCGCACACAACCACGTGACTGCTTCGTATTCTGATTCACGCGAACCACTTGCGCAGTTTCGAGTGTCACTCGTGTCTTTGAAAAGAAATTATAATACGAATAAATATTTGCATACATGCATGTGTAGTGTTGTGCATGTTCATTTTGTATTAATTCCTGGTTCACAGACACTTTAACTGACCATTCTATGATAATCTTCGGTTATTTTGATCATAGCCTAGGCCTATATGCCTACAGCCTTGCCTATTTTTACCACAAATTTATTCACACTCATTTATTCATATTGTGTAATACAATGACTGACATGGACTTATTTATATAGACTTCATATTTTCTTTGCTTTATACAGGTTTTCATAGCACAAACTAATTTATTATCTGAAACAGTCCAAAAATGTCTGGGTCGTCTGGGACGCAAAGGCAGTTTTTTCCACCTTTTGACCACAAGATGCCGTTAGTGTGCACCGTCTTGAAAAGCTTCGAGTAATGAACCTTTTTAAGATACAGTTGAGGGAAAGCCTCGGGGCTTCGCAAAGCTTCATTTTTCCATCACTAGTTTATAGGACAACTAAACTATCAATTTAAACAAAAATTTCCCGTCAACTACAGACGTTGCATCCATCGATTCCGCCATGTTTCTCATTGACACGCTCCCAACTCGGAAACGGGGCTTAAAGAAAATTTCGAGTTTCCCACTCGTAATAACGACTTTGTGGTGGCGTTCATGTGCATTCAACTCGTAAATACGATCTATCCGACATGACTTTCATGACAAGATAAACCATAACTGATCTGGAAAATTATTATTATAGCAAAACCATTTTAATAACTAGCAATAAATAAATAAATAACATTGATATTACGATTATATTGTGATACATTTCTGTTTCTGCACTGTTGAGCGTGAGTGATAGTGTTTGAACAGCTGCAGCATCAGTTCAGTCACTGTGACTGACGGAGGTTTTTGTACCACTCTTTATCACTGTGTGAACACATTTTTACTGTTCATCCAGTAGTAACTCTGACAGTAATAATGTCAGCATCTTCAGTCTGGAATCCACTGATGGTCAGAGTATAATCATTGTGAGATCCACTGCCACTGAATCTAGATGCAGTTCCTGACTGACGGCTGCTTGCATCATAAATCAGGAGTTTAAGAGCTTCTCCAGGTTTCTGCAAGTACCAGGCCACACAGGGTGGGCCGCAGGTTGAATCTTTACTGAGTTTGCAGCTCATCACAACATTTTCTCCTGGTGTGGCAGTTTTCACTGAAGGAGTCTGAGTGACTGTGATCTGAGCTGCTCTAGACCCTGAAAAACAAATCCGTTTTGAGTCCATAAAATGCCATATTGTAAGCTGTGTAATATATAAATATATACTTCAATTGATTTTCAAATATACACTATTCACCTTGTAGTGTAAAGCAGTATAAAAGAGTCCAGATGAAGATGGTGATGAAGGTCATGTTGATGAAGATTGTTGTGTGTGTCAGTGATGAAGTGTTAAACTCACAGCACTATAAACACTCTCAGAGCACTGGAGCATCTGATGAATATGCAAACACACTCCAGATCATTTACCTCAAGACAGTTGCTGAGTCTCAATCATAGGCCTATAATAAAAAACAATTACTGAAGAGAGAACATCTATCTATCTTTCTATCTATCTATTATTATCTATATAATATCTATATATTAGTTGGATTGGCACGTCACTGTTAATCTATGTATGTTCCAGAAGTTTATTAACAGACATGAGGATCATCACACACGTGTCTCTGTCAGTCACTGAATCAATGAGTTTGATTGTGAGTCGCATCACACATGATATAAAACATTCACTTTTTTAAATTCAGTTTCATGCTTTAGTAATAATGCAGACTGCATAAAGCACATGAAGTAAAGGAAGGTATTTTCTGCTGTGAGTCACTGTGTTGGTTGGAGACTCAGTTGATGTGTGTTTGTGCAGTTAGTGAAGCGTCCAGCAGGTTTTTGTTCAGCTGCTCTATTAGTTTGTATCACTGTAGTTCACTTTCGGCAGCGGCACCAAACAGGTGTGTTAGATAAGGGAGACATACAAAAGGTGCAGGGCAGGGGGTCCTCCAGGACAGGTTTGGGAACCACTGGTCTATAGGATGCACTTATTTATATATTTGAATTTTATTTTTAATTCACATTGAATGTTTAGCAGTCAACATTGTCATGGCATGTTTGTTTTCATCCAGTGAACTATAATCATTTCTGTTATTTCAACTTGATTTTGTGAGTTTTCAGTGTTTCTGCTCTTTTTTCCTCATTGATAATTAAATTCTAAATGGTAAAAAATTTGCACATTTGCAAATTTGCATTGAAATAAAATGTACATTAGTTTGTCATTTTGGCACCACTTTGATTTTACTTGAAAATTTAAGACAGAAATTAAACTTAAATGTTCAGATTAGTGTGTTGATTTTTTTTTTTTTTTAAGTAAAGCCTGCAGATATTTTCAAACTGGAAATTATGGATGCTTAATTGTATTTTGTTCTTATTTGTTATTTTTGTTATTTTTAAAGTTATAGTAAACATTCTAGACAGATGTTATATTGACCTACTTGACTTAACTTGACTTACAGCAACTTCAAGTTGCTAATGAAAATGACACTTCAGATCAATATATTTCACCAAACTTTCACTGCTTTGCTGAGCACAGACTTTTAAAAACTTAATTCAGGTGACTTGCAGTTTAATGTTGCAAAAATGACAAAAAAATCTATCACTGTATTAATTGTTCATATATTTTTCTGAACCTGAAAGGAGAGAAATGCTTTCTTCTTCATTGAGTTGACTATTGTGTGTTTGTCAGGCGTCACTTGTCCTAAAGTGAGCGTCCTGCTGCCCTCCAGTGCAGAGATCTCCTCAAAGAAGACAGCGACGCTGGTGTGTGTGGCCAGCGAGGGCTTCCCGTCAGACTGGAGCCTGAGCTGGAAGGCGGACGGGAGCAGCAGGTCTCAGGAGAGCAGCGCTGGGCTCCTGGAGAAGGACGGTCTGTACAGCTGGAGCAGCAGCCTGACTCTCTCTGAGCAGGAGTGGATGGAGAGCGTCTCAGTGAGCTGTGAGGCCACACGGAGCGGCCAGCCTGCGCTCACTGGACACGTGACGAGACAGCAGTGTTCAGAGTAGATCTGCTGCTCTTCTCACTCATGTCTCACATGGAGACTAACAGCACATGAGCGACTCCTTCATTCTCCACAACCAGCTTCAGTCACTCGCATCTGCATCTACTCTGCTTTGTGTGTTGCACACAAGCCTATATGTGTGGTTTTATTAAAATTCAGTCTTTAAATAAAATATAATTGTGACTTTGTGTCCCTTTTTGTGTCATTTTTGTTTCAGGTCTTTCATTGAATGAGGGGTCTAGCTCACATATTATAAATAAGTCAGTGGACCATGAAAACACCTGCATATACATGATGGAACAACATCTGCTCTATTCTGAAAGGAACACAATCACAAATGCAAATATTCGTTTAACATTCAGTTTCACAGTTTGACTCGTTATTCTGTGAAATGAGTTTGACTAATAGAGAAAAGTGTGTAAAACACAGGGGAAGTCGTGGCCTAATGGTTAGAGAGTCGGACTCATAACCCAAAGGTTGTGGGTTCGAGTCTCGTACCGGCAGGGATTGTAGGTG